TTCGTGCTTCTGGGAGTAGTGTGTGTGATCGCAGCTGTTTCTTCCTTTTAACTGCCAGTGGGGTTTGAGCTGATTGGGTGGGAGCTTGGCTGTGTTCTGATTGGGTGGAGGTGTGTTCTGATTGGTTAAGGAGCTTGGCTGTGTTCTGATTGGATGGGGGGTTGGCTGTGCTCTGATTGGATGGGGGAGTATTCTGTTTGGGTGGGGGCTTTGTTGTGCTCAGGTTAGTTTGAGTTGCAGGGGGATTTGAGACTCAAGCTAACCTGAGCACAACAAAACAATATATATATCAATAACATCAGTACTAAATAACACGTTTTTAAATAAATTGCCAATAATAGTCTAGGGTAGGGATGTCAAACTCGCCGTGTCACGTGACGCAACATATCACAACTTTTTCTCCTTGCTGGAGCTGGGGTGGGTGCTTCTGCGTGACGCATCAGTACTAAATAACGCATCAGTACTAAATAAAACACGTTTTCCAATTGGCAATATCACTACAGTTCTGAGTGTGTTCAAACCTATTGAATTTAGTTTACACCCTAGATCAGGGGTGTCAAACTGCCAGCCCGTGGACCAGATGCATCACATGGAAGCTGCACCCACCCCAGCTCCAGCAAGGGAAAAAAAAGTCATGATATGTCATGACACATCACGTGACGCGGCGAGTTTGATACCCTTGTCTTAGAATATTATTGGCAATTTATTTAAAAATGTGTTATTTAGTACTGATGCTATTGCAGCTTTCAAGAGCCACGTGTTAAATATTTGAAAGATCAATCGAGACTCAAAACCCATGACTATCAGAACTTCCTGCTACAATGGCTATCAAACTTTCCCAGTTTCACATTCCCAAGCAAACACATAATTATGTAAATAATTTTATTGCAAAAAATTAGGAAGGTACAACCCAGGTCTGTGTGCAACACTACATAATAATTCTGCTATATGCATGTGTGATTGGCTGATAGTCTTGAAGTGTCCTGGGATTCCTTCTGCACCCTTTTCAGTTAACACATGTTTGGCTGCTCTTTTCTTGGTTTTACTGAACTTTTCAGAATCCCTTGACTATACTTTTATATGATGAAGGATTTGATGAACTAGATATATTTAATAACTTTTGGGATGATGTTAGATATCTTGTTCTTGTAAATCAACAAAGACCAGTTGTTGATATGAGTTTTTATTTTTTAAAAATATTGATTTTCCAGTTTTACATTTACATATTTGAAAAGCAATGTGGCGGCTGAGTTGGTTCATAATTCAATAACATACAAATTTCTTTAGTACAGATCACAAACTATTACATTAAATATTTCCTCTCTTTTTCCCTTGGTATTTACTGTCTCACATTTAAATTAATACAATTCTTGTTATATCAATTTAATACAAATAGCTTTCTTACATTTATCAATATTTTTAGTTTATACATATCTTAGTCATTTTAACATTCAATCTTTTTAGACAATCAATGTCCTGATAGGTTTTTCCCAATTTTTAGTTTCCCATTAATATTTAAATTTAACGTTTAATATTTAGTTTCCAAATTTTAAATAACCCCAATTCCCTTTGTCACAATTCATCCCTAGATTTTACATCAGCTGATTAATAATACAATATAATATTCTTATTCTCTGGTAATTTCCAAATATCTTAAATTTAATAACCAAGATTTGTCTTATTTCAACATTTAATACTTCTTTTTTCTCTCAATATCTACTATCTTATATTTAAGGTAATATTTTTTATTATTACCACTAAATAGAAACACATGTTACATTCATCAATACATTTCTAGTTTATATATATTTTAATTGCCTTTATATTCAATATTCAATATTCAAATTTAACTACTGTTTATATTTCCAAGTCTTAAATAACCAAAGTATCCTTTAACTCAACTCATAACAATTTCTAACATTCAAAGTACACCTTATCTATTTTGAGAATATTGTTTTAATTCTCACTAAGTCAAAACCCCAATTTTCTTCAGTCTTGTTCTAGCTTTCTTTTGCCAAATTGTCTTCCATGTCCGTGCTTTTATCAAATAAATCTCCCTGTTATTATGTATGTTGTTTGATGTAGAAAAAAACTATCCGATCGCCATCTTTTTGAGAGGACTAACAAATTGTCTCTCTATTTTTCCATTTGATGTAGTTGTCTTAAACGGTTTATCTTCTCTTCAATCTGTTGTTCTTCTTGATCCTCAGGTTTCTTCTGATTTATGTAGAAAAACGTTTCCCTTGTCCATATTGTCAGTTCCTTTTCTGGGTTTTCCATTGACTATACTTGTTGATCAATTGAATCCTCTGTCATAGTATTTAATTGGTCCACTTTTTCCGTTATATTCTGTGTAGTTGATTTTTCAGTTGTAATCAAAAATTGAGTTCGTGTGTCTGGGCTGACATCCCGTTCTATTTTGCAACCTGTTATTTCTTCAGTAGCTGTAAAAAGAGTTTGGTAAATTGCTTTCAGCATAAAGAGAATCTGTTCCTGATTCTCCTCCATATTCTGTTAGTAATGTGTTAGATTAAAGGCTTTGCAATCAGAGAATATAAAAAAAATTTTTTTAGTGAGTATGGAACACAGCTGAGCTTCACTGCTGATAAGTGTCTCAAGGTTATAAGTCTTATCTATTGCCTAGGCTGCCAGCCAAGTCTCTTTTAAACAATAACAGGTTGTAATATCAGGTTTAGCCAAACGATGTCGCCCCTATATTTAAAATTTTCCTTTAGGTCTGAAGTTTTTATAATCTTTTCAGTTTTACTTCTTTTTTATAAGTAAGAACCCAGATCTTCAATAAGAGAAGAAAGTCTTTTAATCCACAAACTTCAAGAAGTAAGATTCCAATTAGGATCAGGTTATTCTTGCAACATTCTTTTTTTTTTTTTTAAACTCCCCTGGATAGTCAGTTGCCGCTGTTTTTAGAGGGGTAAAATCTCCCTTCCCTCTCCACAAAGGGGAAAGTACTTAAGCAGCTTATGCAGGTAAAAAAGATAATTAGAATTTAAGAGAGGTAGATCTCACCCAGTCTCTTCCGTGCTGCTTTAAAGTTGCCTGATGGTAAGTGTGACAAGCCATATTTCGGCTGTCTGCAGCCTAGTGACAAGCCATATTTCTATGGCCGGTCTTTCGTCTGCCGCTTTGGAGGGCTGCCCTCCGGATCAAACGGAAGGGCTACTGCCCTTCCGCGCTCATGGAGATCCCCTCCTTCCTGGTACCTCTACAGGGCGACTTTTGATCCTTTCCAGGGTCCCTCAGTGAAGCTGGACGTGGAAGACGGAGCTCGCCTTCCAAACGTCCATGGCGGCCGCGTTGGCAAACTGGAAATCTCCTGACTTTTTACTTTTCAATAGCAAAAAATTTACTTAATGTTTAAAATATTTAGTAAAAATCAGCTGCCAATTGCTTTGTTAATGAGATACATTTCAAGATATTGCCCAACAAAGTCTACTATCACATTTTTGACTGAAACTCAAAACTATTCATGACTTCACTTACCAATTGGACACAAAGGATACATTATGAGGGCATGGCGAGACATCATTATATAATTCTAGAATGAAAACTATTTTAATTGAAACAACAGATTGCCAGTGTGTTTATCTGTCAATCTCTGAAGAGGACTTCTGAGCAATTTGGTCAGTTTTTAATACAATTTTCCAGGCCCACTTTCACTTTTAATTTTATAATATCACAGTTTAATGGCGGTATAATTTTTTCTGTTAATTACCAAATACTGTATGCAGTAAATATTTGGGTCCCAAAATACATCCCAATTGGGTTTGACTTATCAGTAGATGGGCTTATCCACAAGTATATAGGCAAAATACAATAAACTAAAAAAAAGAACATCTGGCCTTCATTCAAAATACTAGAGCTAGAAAGTCAAATTCTCTCATTGTACCATCTACCTTTAAACCTACTAATCTAAATTAGTAGAAAATTCTAATCATCTCTGATGTCATATTTAATTTTTTATTCAATATTCTAAACATCAATACCAATACAAACACTCCTAATAGTTATTTGTTTTTCAATACGACAGTGTAAAAGCATACAAATGAGAATCTTGCCATGTGGGAACATAAGTAAGATATCGTTCTTCAAATAATTAAAAACTCATACAGCTATTCATCTAATGAATCATGTGCTACTTTACAAAGCATGTACATTATATTTTCCCCATAAGTACTTCCTACTTATTCTTAGGTGAACTATAATTATTAGCATCCCTATATGCACACTGCTTAACCACTGCATTACTATTTTCAAGCTTTTTTCTCCGTATTCAGAATGGGTTCTTATTTCAAACTATTTTACCATTTTCATAAAAGCATGATGAAAACTTCTGAAGACCTATATAAGCATATCTTATTTAAAGACCCTTTAAATCCAGTCTAAAAATCCAACTATAGTACTCTGCCCCAACACACACCATGGGACAGCATTTTAAAAAGTCTCACCATACTAGTTCTTTCCTTACTTTGTTCCACTCCCCCTTTTTGTGCAGGTGGATATGCACATGCATAAATGCTGCCTGAGGCCAGTAAACCACATCTTACTGCATGGTGAGGCTGGCCATAAAACTCAAGATGTAGTAGTCATAAATTCAACACATAGTTAATTATGTTTATTGTTCACAAAATGCCCCAAATTGGAGAACACAAATGCTAGATGTCCAGCTGTGCAAAAACAGTACATAGTGTTTAAGTACAAGTGGAAAAACAAGATTGGCTAAATGAATATTTTTCAAAACATGATTTTTATGGTTCTTTTAAGACAGGACTTGAAACTTATAGCTGATCTTCAGACAAAAGCAGATCAGCTTCCTTGGACCCTGAACTGTACCTACTATAACCAACACCAAAGACAGACGATTCTGGACTATCTGTTCTGATGCCTATATAATGTACATCAGTTCACAGAAGGCAGTTTGTAGTCCCACTTAAACATGATCTGGCCCCGATACATAAGACTGAGTAGGAATTTTTTTAAGTCAGTGGTCCATAATGGCAAGTTATTCTACATGATCTATCAATTTAACTTACATTTCTAATAAAATTTTGTTTAAATGACTTTCTTGAACTCATCATACAACACAAGCACAATTGCACCACCCATGCCTCGAAGAACATTAGACCATGCGCCTTTGAAGAAAGCCTTTCCACCTTCATCTCTTGCAATCTTCCTCCAACAGTCAATTGTTCCAGAGTACATAATGTCAGCTGTGGAGAAAATAAATCAATTTTTTTTAATTACTTAGGTACAAACATAGCAAGAAAATCAGAAGAAATAAGGAAGCTATCCAGAATTCATAGTTTCAATAACATAACCACCAATTCCATTTCCAGAATAGACCACATCTGTAGTGCAATACAACTCAAGACATGATTCTGTCAAGCTGCTAGTAATGAATGACTTATTCAGATAAATACTTAAGTCTTAACCAATAACATCAACTGTGAATGAAGTAGCAAGGCTTTATATTTAAACAGAGCACAGAATACATCAATGGAAAAAACCCCCATCCTGCTTCAAAGTTTATAAGCAAGTTCTATTTACCTGCTTTACGACCAGACTGCATCATCATTCGACGTCGCACTGTGTCAAAGGGATAGGAGACCACACCAGCTACGGCAGTCACTGTTTGTGCAATCATCCAGCTTATCACAATATGAGTGTTCCTAGGATCTGGCAACATACCTGTAATATAACAAAACTCTCATGAAAATATAGACTGCTTTCCATTAAGATTTAGTAGCATCATTTAAGAGTATCCAAAGGCATGTAAAATAAGATCAATCAATTATTTTATTTATAGCAGGATGAACATTTAATAAGCAGGTGCTCATCCCACATCAATGACAGCTAGCGGTAAAACCATGTTTAGCCTTATTCTTTCCATGTTCAGGAAAGTTAACAAGACCTCCTTTAGCCAGGCATTTTTTAGCCTTAACAAAATATAAAAGAGAATAAGGTTGAGCTGTGGAGTCCTTGGTGCCCCCTAAACTGGTATTCTTGCACATGTTTTATTACCCAACAAGGCAACATTGTCAGTACCATTAATAAGAACTGATGTTACCTAGTCGAGTAATGAAATGTCTGCAAACTATCAAATTCAGAGAATCCCAAGGTCTCTAAATTTAACAGAATATTTTAAGTATTTTTATTTATCTTATCTCTGAATTTTATGTCTTGTGGGAGAAAAATCACAGAATCAGTATTAAAATAATAAACTATTTTGAGTGAATGCCATCCTCAAAATTGATTTTGAACACTGTTTTTGAGATTAGATATCAATGTACTGCTTCGTATGATAGTTCACAACTCTGATAGTACAGCATTGACTCTGAGAACCTTACACATCAATGAAATGAACGTCTCAAATAAAATAGCTATGAAAATGTTAACTTTAAGAATAATTGTGAATACATTTTATAAAAACAGATATTAAATACTGCCCAAAGTAGTTGTACTTCTCTAAATGTAAGCATTCAAATAATGTACTGTTACCATTCGACTTTTTTCTTTGAATACAAATCCCTTTTTTTCTTTTCAGTCTTGGTCTTCTTTTTTCCCCTTTCTCTCATTTCCTATACCTTAGCCCAGTGAAATTTAAAAGGTCTTTCCAAACACCATACCACAGAATTGATCATATTTTAGCAATTGAGTCCAGTGACTATAACTTCTACATGTCAAAAGAGTATGCTAGGTTATTTGCCAAGATCAGCCTGAGTATTTTATTTACCTTTTGCTGTATCATATATTCCAAAATAAGCAGCTCTATAGATGATTATGCCCTGGACAGAGACATTGAAGCCTTGATATAAGCCACGCAGGCCATCAGACTTGAAGATTTTGACGAGGCAATCTCCCAGACCGGTGAACTCTCTGTCAGTGCCAGCTTTTCCAACATCAACTGCCAGGCGGGTTCTCGCAAAATCCAAAGGATAGACAAAGCAGAGTGAAGTAGCTCCAGCTGCACCACCTGAGGCCAGGTTACCAGCAAAATATCTCCAGAACTGTGTATGTTTATCTACTCCTCCTAAAAACACTTGCTTATACTTATCCTTGAAGGCAAAGTTAAGTGCCTGAGTTGGGAAGTATCTAATAACATTGGCTAAATTTCCACGCCAGAAGGATAATATTCCTTGCTCTTTGGGAATGCGGACCACACAATCAATGATTCCTTTGTACTGTTTATCAGCAGCAATCTGCTTACTTGCATGCTGTACCTGTAAGAAGTTTTATAATGCTGAATTAGATGTAGTTTTCTTTCTGAAGCATTATTTTAATAACATGAAATTATATTTATGAGTGTGTTCTGTATACACATAAATATTAAAAGGACTATATACAACCTCAAATGAAGATCTGTTGTTTTCACAATACAAAAATGCAGAATTTGAACTTTACACCAAAAGTAAGAGTTTTAAAGATACTCCTTTAGAAAATAATGGCAACAGGCAAGCTTCCCTCAAATCTATAATGCTCAAATAAGAACAAAGATGGAAGTTATTTCCACCTAAAATTTAATCAAATCAAACTTTATCACAATCATAGACAATAAGGGTGGATTACAGTCAACTAAAAAGTTTTATGTATGGGTATATATGAGAAAAGACAAGACAATATTAAGACAGAAAGTGTACATAAAAACAAGACTCTAAAAGATCAGGATATTATATGAGAGTAGGGAAGTATTGCTGCTTGGGAAAATTATCATCATTACATTTTAATGTCTTTGTAGTAACCATAAACCTTGTAACTGTAACTTTGTAGTAACACAGAGGAAACTGCCTTACAGCAAATGAAACCAATGATATACCTAATCAATTGTTATTGATACTGTCAGTGTTTTTCAAGATTTCAGGACAGACTTTTTCCAAACCCCTTAGAGATGGTAAAAACACATCTGGACAGTTTTTGCATATAAAAATTCAACAACCTTAAAATTTCTCCCTTATGAGTCTAAATAAATTTAACTGATTTCAAAACCTATGCGATTTTGAACAAAACTCTTATACCTTTCTAAACTCTAGGAATTTATGATTCTCCTGTTAATGCAAATTGCAGAAATACTAAGAACATTTTATTATGTTTTATTATTTTATCTTTTCATTCCTATTTGACGTTTTTATCCGTTGGAAGCAGTTCACATTCGCCTGTTGAACATACAGCCATATATACTGAATCAAATACACAAAATAAGTGACAAGCTGAATGGAACAATGTGTGGATTTGGTAAAGTAGAAAAAAACGGTCTGCAAAAGATAATAGTAGCTCCCTCTCTATCGCTCAGATACATCCTCTACTCTCCTTACCGGGAAGTAACAGCATTTAAAAATATAAAGCGGAGGCCAGCGGACAACGAAATCAACGTCTAGGTAGCGAAGGGGCAGGGCTAATCCAACCGCCGCAATAGAAACGTCACTCCTCTCGCCTACTCCGCAGAGGTTTGTGCCTCTGCCAAATCACGCGAGATATAAGTGGGAAGAGGCGAAAGCACCACCGCATCTTCTCCGCGTCTACTAGGGACCTATACGTCCTCCGCCCTGTCAATCAAAGACACGACGCCGGAAGAAAAATGGCGCCCGGTTCCCACTTTCTTTCGTTCGACCTCTCTCTTGTTCCCGCCCTTTCTTCCGACTCAAAGGAGACCCAGCGGGAAACAGAACAGGGGAGGGATCGAATGCGAGTGGATGCCCTCACCCTGGATCCGGCTATCCGCTTTCCAACCGTCCCAGCAACCTACTGCGGTCGCACGATTCAAAGCCTCCAGGAAGGGAGCCGGTTTGACAGCACCCTCGAGCGCCTGCCACGCGGAGTGAGCGGTGCCCCCATTGTCCCCACAGCACAGTCTCTGCGAGGCCGCTGAACCCTCTCCATAGCCGACGGTCGTGGAGGGACTGAGGTTCCCCTTCCCGGACCCTCCTCCCTAGAGCTTCTCCCCTCCCCCCTGCCACGCGCTTGGCGGGCCTAACCTGAAGCAGGAGCTTGACCCGCTCGATGGGAGCCACCGCCGTTTTGCTGATGGCCGCCGCGATGCCGCCGGCGAGGAAGTCCTTGGCGAAGGAGATAGCCTGCTCTGCCATGCTTTGCAGTAGATCGGAGCCTCCGGGTGGTACCGAAGGGAGGGGCTGGGGAACGGGGCGCTCTGTCGTTGCCGCCGCAGCGCAACACACCGAAAGGGAACGGCTGCCTCTGCTCGGGAGCTAAATGGCCGGCTCGGGAAGCTCCGCCCGCTGGGCGCCATTGGCGGGCCCAACGAGGAGAGGCGGTCTGTGCCGGACGGCTGTGTTTCCCTTCGGTCTCTCTTGCTCCCCCCGCGGCCTTCCTCGCGCTTTCCACTAAGGTGCCTTTGAATGGAAGGAAGCCGAAGATTTTAGAGCCACGTGGAGGGCAAGTCAAGGCACCTTTCCCCCAACTAAGAATGCGGCCATACGGTGAAGGCACTCCTGCAAAGTGTTGTCTTCTGCGACATTTCGGGTGGCGGCTAACATTTATTTTTAAAGGTATATTGATTGGATGCTTTCGGGTTTTCTTCCAGGTCAACCTTTGATATCCCGTGACTACAATCGAAATAAATTCGAAAAGTCACGCAGTTAACTATTTTATTATAATCTGTTCGATGGGAGTCAATTACTGAGTTGATCCTTGGGTTGCTGTTATTACTGCCCTTCAAACCTTCAAATAATAAGGTTGATAATAGCAGGAAGAATGAAGTATTACAATGTTACGGTATTGTTTGTGAGCCATTGTAGTCCATTATAAACATTGCAAATATTGGATATTTTCACCTTGTAGCTGTTAGTTGCTACATAGATATATTTCCACTGACTGCTACTGAATTTGTTTTCTCGTTCAACTGGGAGAGTTAAATTCAGTAATATTTAGAGAAATCATATTTCCTGTTTTCCTTTCTCACTTGCTATCTTATTAATACAGAGTTCAGAACCATAGGTTGTTTTAATATTACATCTCCAGTCCAAGATGTAGCCTTTGGTGAATAAAATTAATCCACAATTTCTTCTAAAAGAATTTTGGAGCTGGAGGTGCCCTAAGGTTTCGCTAAAACATTAGAAGGGAATCTCAGTCTCAGTGTTCAATTAAAGTCTTAAATTTATTGAGACCATATCAGTGTTCCATCTTCCACTCTTTATCTTAAAAGAGGCATATTATACCCTGAATTGGAGAATTGGATAGCATGCAATACTGAAAATGTTGGAACAAGGGAAGAATTCTTGAAGAGAGGGAACACTGCTGCCTCTTTCAAGGCAGATGGAATTATTATTTTCAGATAATTTTAAAAATTTCTGAGATCCCACTGCTCACACCCTGCCTAACTATCCTGAATGATCAAAAAAAGGCACCATTGCAGTTCATAAGCTAAGAATTCTGTTCTACCGTCTCAGGCACTATAACTAAAAAGAAAACCCTATTCCCAGACTGCGCATGGCAGCTCTGCGGAAAGTTGCACATCCGCGGAGAGGAGGGAGCAGCTCGGCCCAGCAATGGCTCACGTGCCACCAGAGAAGTCTCCATGTGCTGCCTGTGGCATGTGTGCCATAGGTTTGCCACCACAGTGCTAGACTCTGAAATTAAGCTAGCCTTTCTCCTGCTGGTTTCTGGAGGGCTTTCCTCAAATGACCAGATCTCCACAGTCAGCAGGGCTTCCCTCCTTTATTGCTTCTCCATGGTGACTTTAGGCCCACTTAGGGTCTTCAAAGAAATCGGCCGTAGGATGCAGAGTCCCGCAATCTCTTGGCTACTGCATAAAACCAGAAGCCTCAGGGTGGGGAATCGGCGGATCGCTTTCCGTGCCGGGGCTGGGCTAGACTGGGTGCGGGCAGTTGCATTCCGGTTTTCCCATGTGTTTGTGGGACAAAAAAAGTCCCACAAACATGTGGCGAAGGCTGAGAAGCAAATGGAGAAATGGAATGCAGCTGCCTGCGCCCAGCCCAGCCCAGCCGCGCCCCGGCACAGAAAGCAATCCACCAATTCCCCGCCCGGCAGGTGGGATCACAGACCGTCTGAGAGCAGGGAAGCAAAGCAGGTGGAGGGGAGGCCGGGCAGATTGCCAGCACCAGCGTGGAGGCCGATTGCAGGCATGACAGGATAGCCGTGCATGGCAGAGGTGGGGAGGCTGGGCAGATTGTGGGTGCTGGCGCCCACACCAGTGCCCTCAATCTGCCAGCCTCCCCTCTGGCCCTGAGCAGCACCTCTGCTGTGCGCAGCTGTCTTGCTCACGCATGCGATCACCCTCCGCGCCGGCGCTGCTGCAGAAGTCGCGCAACGGGGGCGTGTATCCAGGCAGCTCGGGTGAGAAGAAGGTGGGCTTCATAGGGTTGGACCCCAGTGCCCCTGAGTCCTCTCGTGACGGGGCCCTGCTGATCGCCGGCTCCGAGGGCGGCGGCGGCAAACACGGCTCAATCCTCAGCAAGCCCCGTTTGCCGCTTCCTGCCCAATGCCGCGGCCCTGAGGCCGCGGAACAAACCGGACAGAGGTAAAGAACCAGGTCTGAGCGGCGGGAGAAGGGCGCTCTGCGAGGGTTGGATCCAACGCACATGGGGCTGCTGCCTCGCTTGCCGGGGCTGGACTGGACTGGGCACGGAGCCTCCTTGCCATTTATTCCCCCGCGGACATCGGGAGCGCCCACCCCACCTACCACTCATCCCGGGGCACCTGCCGCCATCCCGCGCTCTCCAGCCCCTCGCCGGCTAGCCAGGCGCGCAGAGCTCGGGCCTTGGCAGATGGAGGCCGGAGGGGAGTGAGAGCTGTGGCTGCCCGGCTCCTCCGCCTGAGGACGCGTCCGGGGAGAGGCACACCTGGTTCGGTAAGCCGTGGTCCACCTGCAGAAGGATGGAGGAGGACTGGCCGGGGACGGGCGTAGGGCTGCCCATGGGGGAAATCTGACCAGCCTGGAGGGGGGGAGAGGCTGAGAGCCCGAAGGGAGGCATCCTGGCACACCCGGCTGGCTGGCGACGGGCTGGAGAGCACGGACGGCAGCAGCCGCCCCGGGACGAGCGGTAGATAGGGTGGGCGCTCCCGATGTTCACGGGGGAAGAAGCCGTGAGGAGGCTCCGTGCCCAGTCCCAGCATGTAAAGCGAGGCAGCAGCCCTATGTGTGTCCCCGTGTGTGAGCGCCCCCGCCCTGCCAGGCAAGCGGAGCCGCGGCATCTTCAGCAGAAGAGCACAGGCGGGCAGCACAAGGCACGAGGAGCCCCAATCCCAACACAGCCCCTCTTCCCCCCCTCGGAAGAGCTGCGGGGCTCAAGAGCCTCCCCCCATGCCCTCCTGTCCACTGCCCCATCCGCCAGAGCAACATCAAGTTGGCCATGCCCACCCTGGCCACGCCCACCCAGTCTGCCATTTCCACCATAGCCACGCCCACCCGGCACCCGGAGATACATAAGTGGGTTTTGGGTTGCAGTTTGGGCACTCAGTCTCTAAACGGTTCGCCACCACTGACATAGTCATACTTGCCATACTGCCTTTTCAGACCTAGTAGTCCCCTTCCTGGTAAATTGTTCTGATGTTGTGTTGTGCCATATGGGAAAAAGGTGCTAACTTTTTTACCAGCAAGTATGAGGAAACATCCAGAAAATTACAGGTAGTCCTTATAGCCTGCCACTCACACAGCCCAGTTCCTTTCCCCCCCCCCCCACACACACAGATAGGCCACCAAGCCACAAAGGTTGGGGATCGTTGACTTAGACACTTTGTTTAACAATGATTTGGAATTACAATGGCCTCAGAAAAAATGGTTTCTGGCTGTCACAAAGTGTTGCACCAACAACCCTGCAAGTCATTTGATCACAATATGGGTGCATGGCTACTTGTTTATACTTATGACTGATTGCCATGCACCCCATGTTCATGTTATTGTTACTTGCAATCTTCTCTGCTGTCTTCTGCAGAAAGTCAATGGGGAGACAAACAGGGAAGGTCACAAGCTGCCACTGGTCTTCCAAGAGGACTCCCTCTTATCTTTGGAGACATCCTAGTAGTTCATAACCAGATATGATTCTCTCAAATGGGTAATATTGACATACTCATACTCATGTTAATCCATCTGTGGACGCTAGCTGAAAGAGCTGCCTGCCAAGGAGAGCTGAACTCCCGAGGATTTCAGCTATATTCCTGTACCCTGCCATAGTTACCTTTCATGCATGGAGGGGAACAGAACTTATTTGATGGGGTACAGAAATGGTTCTGTTCCTGCATTCCACTGAAGGAGTTCCTCTCTGTACATGGACAGGAGCTGAAATCCTTTTGAAAGAAAGCTCTTTCAGCCAGCCCCCAAGAAGAGAGGGAGCCAAAATCAAATCAGAGTGGAAAGATAGCTTAGTAAGAAGTAAGGAGCATGGAATGCCCCAGGCCGGTGGGTAGGTCTTGTGAGGCCTGGCACACACCAAACGAGTGTGTCTCTTCACTTTAGCTGAACATACTGCTTGGAGTTTGGCAGGGAGGATTTTCAGGTTTGCGTGGAACGTGAGACTAGGTCTCCCCTAGTCCTGAGGCACCCTGTGCTCTACTTGAGACTCCATCTACTTAATAACTCACAAGATCACTCAATAACCATACACAGGAGTGCTGGGATTGCAGTTGTGAACAATCATGTGGGCATCTCACTTAATGACTACTTCACCCAATGACCACAATTCTGGTCTCAATTGTAGTTGCAAGTCGAGAGCTACCTATACCCAAATTCTGTGCTGTTTGGAGATTCTTAAGTTTCCTAATCTTTAAATGCACATGCTGTATAGAAGTAATGGCCAGACTCTTCCCCAGTTTTTCTTTTATTATCTGACCAGAGGAGAAGAAAACCCTAAACAACACTCCTTAGCAATCAGACTCCAGAGGCTATCTCCACCACAACCATTCCCAGTTAAAAGTGGCACTGCTTGCAATTTTCTTCCATCCTTCTCTGGCTGTTCTTGCTGTTGTAGCCAAAAATGCAGCTTCTTTCCAACCACTTCAGCTGCAAAGCTTCCCTCACAGTTGTGTTCAGGGGGATGTAGATTAATAGTGGATATTGGAATCTGACAGGTTAGGTTAACACAGCATACAATAATTATGGCACAATTGTCTCTGCATGTTTCTGCCTGTTGAATTTTCTACAAATAGGCGAGTATTTGTTCACAAATATGACTTCAAAATAGAGCCCTATTGTGCA